CTACTGGTAAGCCTAGGAGGAACACACTACTAACTGTCAACTTACAACTCTAATCCTCGACTTCCACGTCTTTCTATCTTGGGTCATATCCTCGGTAAGCTGGAGCAATGACATGTCCTGCCTAACTACCTTACCCCAATACTTCTTAGGCCTGCCCCTACCCTTCCTCAGACCCGCAATGGAAACCTCTCACATCTCTTGACCGGAGCATCTATGTCTCACCTCTTCACATGCCCGAACCATCTCAACCTCGACTCCCGCAACTTGTCCTCCACTGATGTCACTCCTACATTGTCCCTAATAACCTCATTCCTGATCAAGTCCTTCCTGGTATGACCACACTTCCATCTCAACATCCACATCTTAGCTGCTTTCATCTTCTGGACATGGGACTTCTTGACGGGCCAACTCTCAGCCCATACAACATAGCTGGCCTAACCACCACTCTGTAGAACTTGCCCTTAAGTCTAGGTGTCAAACTCTTATCACACAAAACCCCCGAGGCAAGCCTCCACCTCATCCACCCCGCTCCAATACGATGGGTAACATCCTCGTCAATCTTCTTGTTTCCTTGAATAATCGACCCAAGATACTTGAGTACCAATCTTCACTTCCACTCCTTCTTCATGCATCCAATCTCTGAACTTGCACTCCAAGTACTCAGTTTTTGACCTACTCAACTTAAAACCCTTAGACTCCAGTGTCTCCCTCCAAGCTTCCAACCTAACATTAACTCCATCACGCGTCTCATCAATCAGGACTATGTCGTCATCGAATAGCATACACCATGGCACCTCCCCTTGTATGTGTCGTGTTAGCACATCTAACTCTAAGGCAAACAAAAACGGGCTAAGACCTGATCCCTGATGCAGCCCCATCTCCACTGAAAAATGATCCGAGTCTCCTTCCACAGTCCTCACTCGAGTCTTCGCTCCCTCGTACATGTCCTTAATCACTCTAATATACGCCACTGGGACACCGCTAGCCCACATACATCTCCATATGACCTCTCTCGGGAATTTAAAATAAGCCTTCTCCAGGTCTATGAATACTATATGCAAATTCTTCTTCCTTTCCCTATACTGCTCCACCAGTCTCCTCAAAAGGTGAATGGCTTAAGTAGTAGACCTTCATGGCATAAACCCGAACTAGTTTTCGGAAATAGTAACACTACATCGCACCCTCTTCTCCACCACCCTCTCCCAAATTTTTATAGTATGNGTTCAGGAGTCTATGGAAGTACTCATGCCATCTACGCTTAATACCCGCCTCTTCCACTAGAACCCTACCGTCTTCGTATTTGATGCACCGCACTTGATCCAGGTCCCGAGCCTTCCTCTCCCTGATCTTGGTTAATTTGTACAGCTTTCTGTCGCCTCCTTTGCCCCCAAGATCCTCATACAATCGCTCAAAAGCAGCAGTCTTAGCCGCCGTGATTGTCAATTTTGCCTCTTTCCTTGCCAACTTATAACGCTCCCTACATGTCCTCTGCTCCTCCTCATCAGTGCTCCCCACTAGCTTCAGATATGCGGCCTTCTTAGCTTCCACTTTTCCTTGGACCTCCTCATTCCACCACCAGTCCCTTTTGTGGCCTCCCGAATACCCCTTCGATATGCCTAACACCTCTCTAAAAGCTTCCCTAATATAGTTCGTTGTCTTGGTCCACATACTACTTGCGTCCCCACTACTCCTCCAGGCCCCCATGGCCAACATCTTTTCCCTCAACTCTTGCGCCTTTGCCTTAGTCAAGGCTTCCCCACTTAATCTTCGTTTGTCCGTACACCGCTCTCTTATTCCTTACTCTCTTGACCTCCAAGTTTATTACCAGGAGTCTATGCTTCGTCGACAGACACACACTCGGGATAACCTTGCAATCAGTATACATGCCCTTATCTCCCCTCCTAAGGAGAAGGTAATCAATCTAAGTCCTGGCAACCTTACCCCGGAAAGTGACCAAGTGTTCCTCCCTCTTCTGGAAACACGAATTATAACACTAGGTCAAATGCTTTAGCAAAACCCAACAAAGAGGTACTGCCCTCATTCCTAACTCCGAAATCGAACCCGCCATGCACCTCGTCATAATCCCTAGCAGTCACCCCAATATGGCCATAAAAATCACCCCCAATGACGAGCTTCTCGGAGTGCGGAATACTACGTATAACCTCATCCAAATTATCCCAGAAGCGTCTTTGACCTCGTCGCCCAGGCCCACCTGAGTCGCGTAAATGCTAATCGCGTTAAAAGTGACCCCACCAACCACTAGCTTAATAGTCATTAGCTTATCGTTCACCCTCCTAACATCCACTACCATCTCCCTAAGGTCTCTATCAACTAAAATACCTATCACGTTCTTGCCCGCTGCTCCTCCTGAATACCATAGTTTAAACCCGTTAGCATCCCATACCCTCGTAGCCTTCCATCTAGTCTCCTGAACACATGCTATATTAATCCCCTTCTTATGAAGAATCTTCCCTAACTCTATAGACTTACCCGTCAGTGTCCCTATGTTCCATGACCCCGCTCTCAGCCTACTAGATCCCTTACCTCCCTTGCCACCCTTTCCCATTGGCCCACCCGATGACATGATATTACTCTACCATTATTTCGACTATCCACCCCACCCACAAAGAAACTATGGACTACAAATTAAGATTAAAACTAACGCAAATGCAGAAAAGTTGAAAAGCTTCATTGTAGACTAAAATATTTTCTTAATCACACAAGAGGTACAGTGACTCAGCTAATGGCCAAGAAAGGTAAACACGCAACAAAGGCAGGCAACTAATGCAATATTCAAGGGTAAAAGGCAGGCAACAAAGCTATGAACACGCAAGATACAAATACAAAGCAGGAATGATAGAACCTGGAATGTCTACGGATGCCAAAATGGTGTTGACCAACAACAGCTACAGTCCGAAAATTCCTACCCGCCGCCCACCTCCAGTTACTTGCGTCTGCGCCTCACCTTCCTCTCAAGGCTCGCCAGAAAATTGCCCTTGTGCAGATTCCTCTGCTGCCGCTGCTACGCCAAAAAATTCGACAAGCAGCCCACCAGGAAAGGACAGAAGACAGCCAAGAAGGCCTAGCCGTCCAAGAAGAACGCCGCTGCCCGGCGGAGATGCCCGTCGACAGAGAAAAAATGAAAGACAAAAAAAAACACCAAA